CCCCCGCCCACACACACGCAGCCTTTCCGACTTCTTCATTTCCTGATTCCATTCTGTCCGAACCATTGCCATTCCCACCCTCTAGCACAGAGCCACCCCTGCGGCCCCGCGACCTGAGTCAATGCTATCCCCCTCCATATAGCCGTGCGACTTTATCAAACCGGGCAGAGATCGCGCATTTTGCGACGTTCACTTAAGGGCTCGAGAGTGGCCTGGCCGTGCCCCCCCCCCCCTCAACCGTCGGCGGTACCCAAAGCAGCCCCCTTCCCCTTCCCACTGACACCCTAGCGTGGTGTGGGAAAGGGGGGAAGGGAGGAAAGGGAGGGGGGGCAGGAGTGAAGGGACGGGGGTCCAGGTCGGAGCTCATTAAACGCAGCGCCGGCGGTGGCGTCGTGACGCCCCCCCCCCCCCCCGAATAAATGTGGTGGCAGCGCAAAAGAAGGGAAGTCAGGGCGGAGGGTGAGCAGCACGGAGGCACGGCCCATCGCCACTCGCTGCCACTCTGCCACCCCCGGACGGCAAAAACAATATAACTGATTTTTGGAAACTTTGAGTAACTCCTTTAACTGTAGGAACCTATCATAATTTTAGGGTAAATTCCTCAAAAAAACTGAGATTTGTGTTTTTTCTCAGAACGTTATTGTTTGTAACTAGAAGACAACAATCGACAACCCACAACAGTCGGCCGTGCGCCGCAGAGGACGGATTGCGGGTGTGTGTGTGTAGGACAGGAAGACCAGGTTTCAACGTGGCACCAAATCGAAATGGTCGAATTTCATTTCAATGATTATCGATGAATGTCGACACGGTGAAAATACCCTTCGGAAAAAAGTGATATCTGTTTATTTACTTATGCCGTAATGCATTTGCCACGGACGTGTTCAAATATATACGTATGTGTGCGCTGCGTGTACTGCTTCCGTATGTGTCTGTGTGTGGTGTGTGTTGGCCGCACGCCGAGGTAAGAGGGGGGTGGGGGGCAATAGGGTCCATTGTTGGGAAAGGGGTAATGCTCACTGGACTGTAACAGCGACGCATTGTTGGGGTGTCACCCCCTTTCCCACCGCACTTCCCCTCGCCCCCGCGCTGGCGGCGGCGGGGTGGGCGCCAGAGCGCATCGGAGTGCGTGTGGGGGGAAGGGGGAGGAGATCCATACTCGCTATTCCCCCGGCCCCCCTTTGCAAACCAATTTCGGGAGGCAACATTGCAGCGTGCATGGTCAAGAAAATTAGGATCGCCAACCAGTTTAGAGTACTCCGGCAGAATCCTCGCAAGCTATGCGTTTGCACACTGCAAACAAAAATATTAGGTATGTGTCGAGAAATGCTTGTACACCTGATTTGAGGATTTTACGATTTCACAAAGATTTCATGGAATGTCATCATGAGATTTCTTCGGATTTCATGGGTTTTGCCTACCCAGCGCATTGCAATGGTCATCACATTATTTCATGGAATTTCAAAAGTAAGACTTCGTAAAAATAGGAAGATTTCACCAGATTTAAAAAACATTTCATGGAATTTCCTTGGGATTTCACTAATTTCTATAAGATGTTATGTGATTTTCTTGGTATTTCACGGATTTCTAGGGGATCACGTTTTTTCAAGGGATTTCAGGTTTACAGATTCCAAAGGAATTTCACGGCTTTCAAAGGATTTCGGAGATTTCTGGGGCTTTGTGCACCAGATTCTTTGAGTTGTGGGCCCTTCGGTAGGAAAGGTAAACGAGAGGGTGAGGTACCACCGTCCACGAAACGTTTTGGCACCACTAGTCTGGCAGCACGCAGGCCGACCGCAGGCACTAGACAGATTCTCCAGTCTCCAGCTACCAGTAAGAGCGCCGGGTCGGTGGACTCCAGTCCAGACCCCTCCCGGGCCCTTGACGGTCTTCCTGTCTCCGGACGCGAGGACGCCCCCCAGCGCGAGCCCCTCGCAGAGCGCTGCAATCCTTGAAATAATCGACTTTGCTCCGCTCCGCTCTCTCCGCCCCTTCTCCTCTAGAGCCCTGTGCCGCGCCGCCGTGCCTCTGCGTCTGCCATCTTCCGCCCAGCGCCAGAACGACAGCCACCAATAAGCCCCTTTAAAAGCGGGCACGCAAAGCGGTCCGAGGTGAAGTGGGCGAGGGGGGGGGGCGAGCCGACAGCCCCCTCCCCACCAATCCATGGACCCCACTACGGCGTAGTACGCGCTACGCTACGCTACGCCAGACACAGGATTGGGCTGCTCCAGCTTCACTGCAGGAAAATAACACAGTATATAGGAAACGTTCGCCGGAATATAGGATCGGAAAGGGTTGCCGGGGCTGGACCACATTCAAACACAGCCCCGATTCCCCTCCCGCTCGGACCACAAAAAAAGACAGTCTCGTTGGAATGACTTGAATTTCCTTCGTGTTCAGCCAGGTCCGCTGATCGATGTACGCTGCGCGGCGTGGCGCGGAGCGCTGTGGAGGCGGCCCGGTCGACTGGTGGCCGCTGGCAGCGCGCCGAGCAGCGTAGGCAGCGCGCGGACACGGCGGGCGGCGAGCTGCCTACCCGCCAGGCGCGCTGGCAGAGCGCGCGCTCCGGGCGGGAGGGGCGGGAGGGGCGGGGCCGGAGGGGCCGGAGGGGTAGGCGGGAATCTCGTTCATTTCCTTCGGCTATCGCCTCCGAACATCGGGCACGGGCCGCCCTGCTCCACGGCCAGCCCTGCAATATCGTGGGGCGCCAGACTCGCTGCGCGACACGTGGCAAAAGCACAGAAACAAAATGCCACCGGCCCGCGATTTGGGGCTCTGGCCTGGCGGCTGCGAGGTGAGGCGGTCCGAAATATCGCGGAAATATCTCTCTGTCCGAAGCGGACAGAAAAAATACGGCGTCACTTCCGACTTTTTAGGGTGGGTGGGAAATCCAGCCGCTTTGCGGCGGGATAGGTGGCGTTGGATGAAAGTTAGGGCTGGAAACTTGGTCGGAACGAGTATGGACCACGTGACTCTGGAGGGGCCATGTGCTGGAGGTCGCTGGGAGCTGCGACTGCGATGGCGATAGGCGCCGTGCCCGCGCCTCCGGCAGTGCCTCGCTGGCGGGGCCCCGGCGCGGGCCCCTAGTGGGCCCCGAGCTCTGCAGGCTCCGCCCCCGAGCCCCGCCCCGCCACCCCCCGCGCATGCGCCGGCCGCGCGGCCGCCCCGCCCCCGGCCCACCCGCACCCCGCCTGGCCCGGGAATTCTGGCAACCGGTCGATACAAATATTGTAGCAAACCGCACGCCGAGAAGGGAGAGAGGGAGAGGGGCCCGCGGGCCAGGGGGGAAGGGGGAGGGGGCAACCAGAAGCGAATCACGCCGCCGTGGTCCCAGTTTAACCAAACTTTTAAAGCGCGCACCGCCACCTCGCACATAAATAAACTCATTTACAGAGCCAGCTGGAAACAGTTCCGCCGCCAAGAGCTAGAGAAATAAATTAGAAAAAAAAGGTGGCGCGCGGAAGCGTACGAAAAGATGCAGGGGGGAAATAGAGGGCGAAAGAGCGCGCACGCGAGAGAGAGAGAGAGAGAGAGAGAGAGAGAGAGA